TCCATAAAACAACCTTGTGTGCATGCGCATTGATGCAAATTGGAACTTAGTTTTTGTCATGGATTCCTGAACTAGAAGACGCTCTAAAATTAAAAACAAATAAACCTCAAACCAGCCTTGGGGACTCCTAACAGGGTGACTAGGGATGCTAATTCTTCAATCTGCCAAGGGACACCCTGAACTAATTCTTCAGTTATGTAGTACATGTACTTGATATATACAGCACTAGTTGTATCAACTATATAGTCTATGGATAGCTGCATAAACTGATCAGAGCAATGTAGAATTTAAAAATGCTAAAACAGCAACTACTGCTATCCGCCTCTCTCTCTTAGTTGCAACAAAGTCGCAATGTTCAAAATACTCTCTCTCTCTCCTCTTACAGTTATGTCTTGTTGGGGGAATATCAATAGGTTAGAGTGTGTCTCTGATTGTAGGTCAGTCCTTCTTGAGACTAGCTCCCTCTCATAGTCTAATGGCTGTACTCTTCTTGGAGCCTACTCGCTCATTAATAATAATAATAATGAGAGGGAGCGGTACCTTTATTCCTGGAGGAAGAGGAGCTGCTGCTGGAGGAACAGCAATAGGAGCAATCTCTACTGCCATTTAACAAGTTGAATCAACTTGAATGATAAAACATGATTGAGCCACGCCCTTAATTTTTTGCATCATTATCAGTCTTCTCTCACGTGATTTTCATGTACACATCGGAATGCGCTCAAAAACCATAGATATATATGTAGTATCTATGCAAAAACACTACAGCACAGTCCGTGCTCAGTCTGCATCATTGGTCTGCTACAGTGTGATGATTGGAATAATTCTACTAAGTTTAATTCTATTGCTTATCATCATTAGATTACTAGCAAGAGCAGTAGCAGCTCCTCCAGTAGTGCAGGAGGCAGCAGTAATGATGTCAGTACCAGTGGAAGAAGCAGCAGCATACAGGAATGATGTAACCACACTATCAGATAATGAAGAATATGAACTAGGATACTGGTATCCTGATGAACCAATACAAGAAATAACTACTGCAACAACTATCATGTAACAGCAAGATTGAATATTGAATGTAATGTTAATATACTCTGTCTCCTAGTACGATATGTCATGCAAATGTCCAGTAGTAAAGATGTGCTGGAATTATTTTCATTCTGTGATTCATTTTGTACTTCACTTTAACTATTTTGCTTTCTATTTTTTCTTTTAACTTTTTGAAAATGTGATTTAAACAAGCACAAGCCCTATATAGTATGCAGTAACAAGAGTACATTACTAGTAGACGCATGTAACATGTATGATGTATGTACATTTGAATTTACTAAGCTGTGTGCAATGAAGCTAGTAGAGTTTCAAGTGACACCTATGAACTAATACACATGCAGCTTGGCAAGCTGTATCATTTTAGTTCATAGTAATAGTGGATATAAGAAGTGGCTAACAGTGAGGATGGCTAACTACATGTAGTCATGTACTACCAACCAGTTGCATTTAGCGTTCCCAGGTACATGTACATGTGTATATACTAACATAAAACCATCAAATATTGCCTTGGCTTTAAAGATTAGTTTAATTACATTAAAACCAGCATAATAAATAGCTAATAATAATTAATAATAAAATAGCTAATAATAATAATAATAATAATAATAAATCAATAGTTACTTTTTGTTAATATAACCCTGTGGATTCTTCACTTGCCACCTCCAAGCATCTGCACACATTTCCTCAATATCCTTTAATGCCTTCCAACCCATTTCCCTCTCGGCTTTACTAGCATCAGAATATGACACAGGAACATCTCCTTCCCTCCGTCCAACAACCTTATACGCTAACTCCCGCCCACTCGCCTTCTTCATTCCACTGATCACCTCAAGAACTGAATAACCACGACCGGCCCCAAGATTAAATATCTGAAGTCCACAGTTTTTATCGACTAGATTGAGGGAGCTCACGTGACCTTTGGCAAGGTCAATAATGTGTATGTAGTCCCTGATCCCAGTCCCATC